ACATGAATTCCATTTTGATTTTTTATTCGCACAGAGTATTTTTACTCACAAAACAATAGAAGATCTGTTATGCAGTTTTGAAATAATTGTATAAATAATATCATTGTAGGTAGTAGGTTGGTAGACAACAACCACCCAGGGAAGTACTACCGTCCTGCCAAGTGAGTGCAAAACGGAATCCTGTAATTGTTTCACATGATGGTAGGATTGCTGGTGTCTTTTTTCTCTCCCTTAAACATGCAAGATTTCAGGTACGTCTTCCTTCTTCTACTTACACTTAGGTCGCATTACACATACATGTACAAGCATATATATATACACACCCCTCTGGGTTTTCTTCTATTTTCTTTCTAGTTCTTGTTCTTGTTTATTTCCTCTTATCTCCATGGGGAAGTGGAACAGAATTCTTCCTCCATAAGCCATGCGTGTTGTAAGAGGGGACTAAAATGCCGGGAGCAAGGGCCTAGTAACCCCTTCTCCTGTATAAATTACTAAATTTAAAAAGAGAAACTTTCGTTTTTCTTTTTGGGTCACCCTGCCTTGGTGGGATACAGCCAGTTTGTTGAAAAAAAATATATTATCGCATTCATGAACACACATTATATCCACCAGTTGGATGCATATTGGACTGATTTGTTTATTGGCAAAACTCAAACATTTCTGCTTAATTTCAGTCCTGGAACCCACCAAAAAATCTCTATTTCTGTAATATATCTTCCATTCTATCAAATGAGACCAAGAATACAATCATAAAAAACATACGAAAACACACTGCAAAGTCTCCATTTTAAACCAAAAACACTGTCACAGGTTTTTTCTCATTATGCACTGCATGCTGCAGGATTTTTTTTTATGTGATGCACACTTAGCACATAGACCCATTCTGTCACATATAGGCCCAAATTTACCACTCACATCTTATTTGATTGAGATGAGCTCATGGTGTAGTACTACAAGTGACCTCAAAGCTGTAGTACTATGGCACAGCCAGTGAAATAGTTAAAATATGTATTACGTATTAAAAACATAAAGAAGGAACACTGCAACAGGCCTACTGACCCATTCGGAGCAGGTCCATGTCCCCCCCCCCTCCGGATTAGACCAATGACCCTCCCCCCGGATTAGCCCAATGACCCACCCAGTCTGATCATCTCCACTCAAGGATGGAGCACTGCACCAGACCCAGCAGCTCAAGCTAGTCAGGTCCAACTCACACCCACTCACACTCACTCATTTTTTTTTTTTTATCACACTGGCCGATTCCCACCAAGGCAGGGTGGCCCGAAAAAGAAAAACTTTCACCATCATTCACTCCATCACTGTCTTGCCAGAAGGGTGCTTTACACTACAGTTTTTAAACTGCAACATTAACACCCCTCCTTCAGAGTGCAGGCACTGTACTTCCCATCTCCAGGACTCGAGTCCAGCCTGCCGGTTTCCCTGAACCCCTTCATAAATGTTACTTTGCTCACACTCCAACAGCACGTCAAGTATTAAAAACCATTTGTCTCCATTCACTCCTATCAAACACGCTCATGCACGCCTGCGGGAAGTCCAAGCCCCTCGCACACAAAACCTCCTTTACCCCCTCCCTCCAACCTTTCCTAGGCCGACCCCTACCCCGCTTTCCTTCCACTACAGACTGATACACTCTTGAAGTCATTCTGTTTCGCTCTATTCTCTCTACATGTCCGAACCACCTCAACAACCTTCCTCAGCCCTCTGGACAACAGTTTTGGTAATCCCGCACCTCCTCCTAACTTCCAAACTACGAATTCTCTGCATTATATTCACACCACACATTGCCCTCAGACATGACATCTCCACTGCCTCCAGCCTTCTCCTCGCTGCAACATTCATCACCCATGCTTCACACCCATATAAGAGCGTTGGTAAAACTATACTCTCATACATTCCCCTCTTTGCCTCCAAGGACAAAGTTCTTTGTCTCCACAGACTCCTAAGTGCACCACTCACCCTTTTCCCCCTCATCAGTTCTAATGATCACCTCATCTTTCATAGACCCATCCGCTGACATGTCCACTCCCAAATATCTGAATACATTCACCTCCTCCATACTCTCTCCCTCCAATCTGATATCCAATCTTTCATCACCTAATCTTTTTGTTATCCTCATAACCTTACTCTTTCCTGTATTCACTTTTAATTTTCTTCTGTTGCACACCCTACCAAATTCATCCACCAATCTCTGCAACTTCTCTTCAGAATCTCCCAAGAGCACAGTATCATCAGCAAAGAGCAACTGTGACAACTCCCACTTTATGTGTGATTCTTTATCTTTTAACTCCATGCCTCTTGCCAAGACCCTCGCATTTACTTCTCTTACAACCCCATCTATAAAAAACAACCATGGTGACATCACACATCCTTGTCACGGTGACCAGAACTGAGCAGCATAGTCTAAGTGAGGCCTAACCAAGAATATATAGAGTTGAAGAACAACCTGAGGACTTCTTTTATTTATACTTCTAGATAAAGCCAAGAATTCTGTTAGCTTTATTGCGAACACTAATGCACTGTTGTCTTGGTTTTAAATTACTGCTAACCAGAACTCCTAAATCCTTTTTGCAATCGGTAGTACATGTATTAAGATCTACATCATTTAGTTTATATGTGGCATGGTTATTTACCTGTCCAACATTTAGAACTTTGCATTTGTCAATATTAAACTGCATCTGCCACTTCTCCGACCATTGCATCAGTCTATTCAAATCATCCTGGAGTGCTCTAGTGTCCTCATTAGAATGAATTGGACGGCCTATTTTGGTATCATCAGCAAATTTGCTTATGTCGCTATTTATTCCCTCATCTATGTGGATGACCCCCATTATCGTTGATCCCTGACACCCCAAACTTACCTACTATGCCCTCCAGAACAGTTTCTTCCACTTCAGCATTTAGGTGCCCCACCACAATTACTCTCACTTGGTTCAAAACTCCCTGAACACTCACTTCACATCTTCCAAAATCTCTCTCTCCTCTACACTCCTTTCTTCTCTAGGTGCTTAAACACTTAGTAAAACACACTTTTTGCATCCAACCTTAATTTTGATTCATATAATCCTTAAATTTATACATTTATATTCCCTTTTTTTTTCTTGCCATAACTGACCCTTTCAACTTTTTTGGGCCACTTTTTTCCTTTCCCCCTTAACCCCCAGATACACCTGACCTAAAAACCTTTTTAAATTTTTTCCCACGAACTCTCCTATTCCCTTAAGCTTTTTTTTGCTTAGACCCAAAGGGGCTTTCCCAGCTTTTTTCATTCATAACATTGACAGCCCTTCTTTTCCTACCATTTTGATACACCCACGCACATTAAAAACATTTTAAATTGTTTTCCTCTCCACTTCCCTTTGGAAAATAAAATTTTTTTTTTTCTTCAACAAACCAGTCATATCCCATCAGGGGGGTTGCCTTTAAAAAGAAAAATAAAAGTTTTTTTTTTTAAAACCCTTTTTGGGGGGTCCCACCCCCCTCTAAAGGGGACTTGCCCTCAGGGTCCCCAAAAATTTTTAAAAAAAAAAAAAAAAAAAAAATTTCTTGTAAAAAAGATAGAGAATTTTTTCCCCGGGATCATAATGACACCAAAAAAGTTTTGAAATTTGATGCAAAACTTAGGGAATTTAAAATTCTCTCCCCGAAGTTATTTTTTTTTTTTTTTTTTTTTCCTCGACGTGTTTAAAATCGGCGATTTTCCCCCATTTTGACCCCTTTTTTTTCCCCCAATTTCCTTTTCTAGTCAAAAAAATCAAAAACTTTTTTTCGCAAGAATTTTTCCTTTTTTGTCTATCAAGAGTACAAAAAACCCCCTTTTCCCGTTTTTAAATATCCAATAAAGTGGTCAAAATTTTTAGAAATTTTCAAATTTCACAAAAATTAAAAAAGATCCAAATTTTCCCAAAAATAGGGTCCAGAAAAAACCCAAAGACTTTCCCTTGGCACTAAAATAAAAAAAAAAAATTTCCTCTGTTAAATTAGTCATGCCCCGGCCCTTTAATTTTTTTTGTTTTCCCCCCTTTGAATTTTTTTTCCTCAAAAAAAAATAAGATTTACTTTTTATGCAGACTTTTTTCCATTAGTGTGAAATGGTATAAATAAAATCGGGCACTTGGAAAGAATGTTAGCCTCCCAGTTGATGTGTTTTTGGACGTTTAATTTAAACATGATTTTTTTTATTTTTTGAATTTTGGGAAAAAATGAATATTTCTGCTACTTAGAGCTAAATTTTAAAGGGTTTACTTTTCATTGTAAAACCAGTAAAAAAATCATCTCAATTTCTGTAATATGTTTTTTCCTTTCCCTAAAAAATTGAGACCAGAAAAATTTAGAATACAACAAAAAACCCCCAAATAGGAAAATACAGTAAAAAGCCCGCTTTTTTAAAACCCAAAAAACCCACGATCAGTTTTTTTTTTCTCATTACGCTTTTTTTGTGTGCTGCAGGTTTTTTTTTTATACCCCAAACATGCCCCACATAGCCCCATTCCTTTTCATATTGGGCCCTACCAGCTTTCCCTTGCTAGTTTTCAGGGCACTAGAATTTATGAAATACTAGTACGTAAAAAACCCCTGGTGGGGAAAAAGGCCCGTATGACGGCTGAAACCCCAAAAGGGGTTTAAAATTTTAGTAATTTTTACGGGAAAAAGGGGGTTATTAGCCTTTTGGCCCTTTGGAATTTTAGTAACCCCCAATTGACATGAATGGGTTATGGAGGAAAAATTTCTTTTCTTTTTCCCCCCAATGGAGATAAGAGATACAGAAGAATTTGCTAAACTAAGAAAATAGAAAAAACCCCAAGATGGGGGGTGAAAAAATATATAGGGCATTTACATTGTAGAAAGTGTAAGTAAAGAAAGCAAGTTTCCCCCTGTTATCTCCCCATGTTTTTGAGGCAAAAAAAGGGCAAGAAAATATATAAAAAAAAAAAACAATTTTATGTTTTAGTAGCTGTAAAAATTTAAAAATTTTTTTTTTGAATTTGTTGAGATCTAACTCCCAGATCCCATTAAAAAAAAGCCCCCAGGGAGATGGCGCTGTGTGGGGACCCCATGCGCTTAGTGGACCTGTTGCTGGTTACTGCTTTTGAAGGGCGAAAAGCCTACCAAATCGGGGATGAGGCTGTGGCAAGCAGACTACCGGGCCTAAAGACGAATGGACAGTCCAGGGGAAAAAAACTCTTTTCGGCAACTAATGAGAAAATTAAAATTTAAAGGGACACAGATCCCCTTGTTAGAGGCTATAGTTTGTGGGGGTATTGAGGTAAATTTTTTAGGGAGGGATTTTTGGCCAAATCTTTTTAAATTGGGCTTCAGCATTGGTACTAAGGAAATGGTGGAATTCCTTTTGGGGAAAAAGGTGCTGATGTTTAAAAAAAGGTAAGAACTTTTTAAAATTTTAATTTCAAATTTTTTGATGCATTTTCCCTTTTTATTTAAAATTTTTAAAAAAGTTTTTTGGGATGGTAAATTTTAAAAATGTGATTATATTTAAAATTTTTTTGAACTTTTAAAAAAAAATTTTAAAATTTTTAAGTAAATTTTGCAGGGAAATTTAGAAATCACGAACCTTATGGGTTTTGTTATTAAAGAAATTTTATTATTTTTATTATTTTTTTGGAATATCTTTTAGGGCCAAAAATCCCCCTTTCCCCTCCATTATGCCAAACTTTTCCCCTTTGGCGCCCCCCCCAAATAAGCCAAAGTAATTTTTTTAAAGTCATGGGGGGGGGCCAACCCCCGAAAACCCTTTGGTTTAAGATGGGAAAACACCTCCCAGAAAAAAGCACGAGAGGGGAAAAAAAATTTAAAAGGGCCCCCAGAAAAAGTTGCTTTCTATTCTCCCCCGAATTCCCCGCTTTAATTTGGGTAGTTTTTTTGCTTTTAGAGCAAAAATTAAAAATTTTTCCCCTTTTTTGTTTTTTTTACAAAATTTTTTTTTTTTTTTTTTTTTTTTTTTTAAAAAGTCCCGGCCCTCCCCCCCCCCACCGAAGGGGGGGGTGACCCCAAAAAAAAAAAGAAAAAACCCCCAAAAAAAAAAATATTTTTAAACTCTTCAAACACTTTTTTAACCCTTTATCCCCATTAAAACACTGGTTTTTTTTTCAGAAAAGGGGGGTCCAAAAAAACACAACCAAACTTTTGAAGCTATACGTTTAAAGATACACCCAAAATAAAACCCCCCCAAACCCGCCAATTTTCCCAAAACCCCCTTTCCTTTTTTGGGTGGGGACAATTGGGACTTCCCCAATTTTTCCCGGATAAGGGGCCCGGGTATTTAAAATAAACCCGGTTTTTCCCCCGAAACCCTTCACAAAAATTTTTCCCCGGGTTTTAACTCCAAAACGATTGTCCCCGGGTCCCAAATAACCCCCTTTGTCCCCCCATTTCATCCTATCGAACACATCGTGCCAAAAGCCCGCCCCGGGGGAAGTCCCCCAAACCCCCCCTTTCCCCCCCCCAAAAAAACCTCCCCTTTCCCCTTCCCCCCTTTTCCAAACCTTTTTTTTGAGGGCAAAATCCCCCAACCCCCCCTTTTTTTCTTCCCACAGATTTTTAAAAACCCCTCCCAAAGGGCCCTTTACTTTTGATTCCCTTCCCCCTTTAAAAAAAAACCCCAAAAACCCCCCTCAACAACCCCCCCCCTTCCGGGGCCCCTTTAAAAAATTCCTTTTTTTTAACCCCCCACCCCTTTCTCCTTTAATTTTTCCCCACCCTTTCCCCCAATTTTTTTTGCATTTTTTTTAAAACCCGCAAAACTGCCTCCCAACCCCCCACCTCCCCTGTGCAAAACAACCCCCAAATTTTTTCCAAAAACCCCTGTAAAGTGTTGGTACTACCATAAATTTTTTCATACATTTTCCCTTCTTTGCCCCCCCAAAAAAAAAGTTTTTTTTTTTTAATCCCCCATATCCCCCAAAAGCACCACTCAAACCTTTTTTTTTCCCATCAAATTTTCCAAAAGATTTTAACCCCCAACCCTTCCCTAAATCCTCCGCTGGGCCCCCATCCCAAATCCCCCAAAATTCCCGAAAAAAAATTCCCTTTTTTCCCTTCCCCCCTCCCCCCCCCAAATTTTATTTTCCCCAATTTTTTTTTTTTCTAAACCCTTTGATACCCCATCACCCTTTAAACCCTTTTTCCCATGTTTTACTTTTTTAAACCCTTTTTTTACCCCTTTCACATTCCCCAAAAAATCAATTTATAACCTTTTTTCAAATTTTTTTTTTAGAAACCCCCCCATTTAAACCCCCTAAACATCCAAACAAAAAAAAATAAAAAGTTTTGGGCCCAATTTCCCCTTTTGAATTTTTATTCCCCTAATTTAATCCCCAAAACCCCTCTCCCCCCCAACACCCCCCTAGCAATTTTTCTTCTTTTTTCAACCCCAAAACCAATTAAAAAAATTTTAAAAAAGCCCGGTGAACCCTTTTCAATCCCCCCCGTCTAAGACCTAAATTTTAAAAGGAAGTAATCTCCCTCTCTTCTCCACCCTTTAAACCCAAAAAAAACCCCCAAATTTTCCTCAAAAAAAAAACTCCTTTAAAAAAGCATTTAAAAACTTTTCCACCCCGTTTTCCTTTTACCCCTTTCCCAAAATCCCCCACATTTTCTCCCCCATCCACTCTAAACATTTTGTATGTTTTTTTTTTTTTTTTTATCAAAACTGGCCCCATTTCCCCCAAAAAAAGGCAGGGTGGGCCCCCGGGAAAAAAAAAACTTTCCCCCCATCATTTCCCCTCCATCAAATGTCTTTTCCCAAAAAGGGGGGCCCTTTTTCCCCTAACAGTTTTTTTTAAAATGCAACCCTTTTCCCCCTTTTTCCTTTTAGAGTGGGAGGCACCCGTAAAATTTCCCCTCTCCCCCGGGACTTCCCCGTCCCCCCGGCCCCGCCAGTTTTTTCCCCCCGAACCCTTTTAAAAAATGTTACCTTTTTCTCCAAAATCCAACAGCAAAATCCGTATTAAAAACCATTTGTCCCCCCATTTTACTCCCATCCAAAAAAATGCTTTAAAGAAAGCCCCGCGGGGAAAATCCCAAACCCCCCCGCCCCAAAAAACCCCCTTTTAACCCCCCCCCCCCCCCAAACCTTTTTATAAAGGGCCCCAAACCCCTTTCCCCCGGCCCTTTCCTTTTCCCCTTTCAGGAAATGATACAAATCCCTTTAAAATCCCCCCCCTGTTTTTTTCTCCAATTTTTTTTCTAACCCCCCGAACCAAAACCTTCCCAAAAACCCTTTTCCCCAGCCCTCCCCGGAAAAAAACAGTTTTTTTTATTTCCCCCACCCCCCCTCCCTTTAACCTTTTCCCAAAATAAAAAAATTCCTTTTCAAATTAAAATTCACAAACCCCAAAATTTTCCCCCCAACAATTCCATCTCCACTGCCTCCCCCGCCCCCTTTTCCCCCCCGCTTTCAAAAATTCCTCACCATGGCCCCCCCCACCCAATTTTTTAAAAGCGGGGGAAAACCTTTTTCTTTTTATAAAATTTTTCCCCCCCCCTTTTTCCCCCCAAAGGGCCAAAAAATTTTTTTGTTCCAAAAGAACCCCCCTAAGTGCAAAACCCCTCACCCCTTTTTCCCCCATCAAATTTTATGATTCACCTCTTTTTTCATGACCCCTCCGCTGACATGTCCACTCCCAAATATCTGAATACATTCACCTCCTCCATACACTCTCCCTCCAATCTGATATCCAATTTTTCATCACCTAATTCTTTTGTTATCCTCATAACCTTACTCTTTCCTGTATTCACTTTTAATTTTCTTCTGTTGCACACCCTACCAAATTCATCCACCAATCTCTGCAACTTCTCTTCAGAATCTCCCAAGAGCACAGTATCATCAGCAAGAGCAACTGTGACAACTCCCACTTTGTGTGTGATTCTTTATCTTTTAAACTCCATGCCTCTTACCAAGACCCTCGCATTTACATTCTCTTACAACCCCATCTATAAATATATTAAACAACCACGGTGACATCACACATCCTTGTCTAAGGCCTACTTTTACTGGGAAATAATTTCCCTCTTTCCTACATACTCTAACTTGAGCCTCACTATCCTCGTTAAAAACTCTTCACTGCTTTCAGTAACCTACCTCCTACACCATACACCTGCAACATCTGCCACATTGCCCCCCTATCCACCCTATCATACGCCTTTTCCAAATCCATAAATGCCACAAAGACCTCTTTAGCCTTATCTAAATACTGTTCACTTATATGTTTCACTGTAAACACCTGGTCCACACAACCCCTACCTTTCCTAAAGCCTCCTTGTTCCATCTGCTATCCTATTCTCCATCTTACTCTTAATTCTTTCAATAATAACTCTACCATACACTTTACCAGGTATACTCAACAGACTTATCCCCTATGATTTTTGCACTCTCTTTTGTCCCCTTTGCCTTTATACAAAGGAACTATGCATGCTCTCTGCCAATCCCTAGGTACCTTACCCTCTTCCATACATTTATTAAATAATTGCACCAACCACTCCAAAACTATATCCCCACCTGCTTTTAACATTTCTATCTTTATCCCATCAATCCCGGCTGCCTTACCCACCTTTCATTTACCTACTGCCTCACAAACTTCCCCCACACTCACAACTGGCTCTTCCTCCTCCTACAAGATGTTATTCCTCCTTGCCCTATACACGAAATCACAGCTTCCCTATCTTCTTCAACATTTAACAATTCCTCAAAATATTCCCTCCATCTTCCCAATACCTCTAACTCAACATTTAATAACTCTCCTCTCCTATTTTTAACTGATAAATCCATTTGTTCTCTAGGCTTCCTTAACTTGTTAATCTCACTCCAAAACTTTTTCTTATTTTCAACAAAATTTGTTGATAACATCTCACCCACTCTCTCATTTGCTCTTTTTACATTGCTTCACCACTCTCTTAACCTCTCTCTTTTTCTCCATGTACTCTTCCCTCCTTGCATCACTTCTACTTTGTAAAAACTTCTCATATGCTAACTTTTTCTCCCTTACTACTCTCTTTACATCATCATTCCACCAATCGCTCCTCT